CGATTCTCGATTCTCGGCGTTCGATCTCATAGGCAGGTCTCTCGATTCTCGATTCTCGATTCTCGGCGCTCGACCTCAGAGGCAGGTCTCTCGATGCTCGATTTTAGGTTTCGACCTCAATGGTCTCTCAATTCTCGACTTTTGACCTAAACGGTCTCTCGATTCTCGGTGTTCGACCCAAGTGGTGGGTCACTTGATTTTTGGTATTGGTGGTCATTCGGTATTCATTTGGGGTCCTGATTCTCACTTGGAGGATTGATAACTATTTGGTGGCCGAGGATTTATTCAAATGGTAACCTCAGTGGCAGGTCGACGGAAACAATCCGAAGAGGAATTTTTACTCTTGGATCGAGTCATGCTTACTCGACCAGAGTGGGGGGGACTAGATGATATAGGATATTATACTGGACCCGGTTTATGGATTAAGCGGATACATATTGGAGGATAAGCCCACTAAAACATCTAAGCCCAACTATAGGGGTCAAGCCCAACTTGGGCCCAAAAGGTACACTCCCCCTATAAAAGGGGGGCCAAGGTACCTCATTCTCGCATCCTCTATTGATTGATTACTACACACTTTCTCTCTTTTGATGTGAGGACTGACTTAGGCATCGAAGGCCCGACGCCGGGGCCACCCCCGGTGTTGAGTTCTGCAGGTACGGAGGCCATTCGAGTTGAAGGAGCCCGAGTGAAACTTATTCACTTCAGGGCGGTATCTATATTATATATATACTAGGGGTGGTGTGTTTGGTTGCTTTGATTGGGCTGATAAAGTACATATATAAAAGGGAAACAAGATTTAACCTGCCAAACTATGTCAATTTTTAGAGTTTGCCTTACGAACTTTTTTTCTTGACAAATTGTCTCCTATAGTAATCGAAACTAACAATTTGTCTCCTCAATTGAAAACTCTAATATGACATAAAAAGTTTTTAACTCAATTAACAATAAATTATAAATTGATCTTTAAAATTGATTTAGGGCTTTTAAAGCCCATGACGAGATGAACAAATGAGGTATAGTTTGTTGATTTCTACATACTTCTGTAATCGGTCGACGGAGATAGTAGGATCACGTGTGTATAGAAAAATTTCAGTTCATGTTTTTTGATAATAATGATATCTGATTTTCTATTAGAAGGTGTCATTTGAAAGCTTGCAGGACCAATTTTCTAATGTATAAATCTTATGAAAATCCAACGGTGGAATTTTGATCAGTAGTTAGAAAGCTACTGATCAATAATTAGCTTTTTCTTAGGCTACTTACCAAAATTCGATCGTTGGATTTTCATAAGATTTACTTCGTTAGAATTTAGTTTCCAAGCTTTCAAATGACACATTTTAATCGAAAATCGGATAGCTTGATTATCAGAAAATTTTAATTGAATTTTTTTCTATACATACGTGCTCCTATTATCTCCGTCGATCGATTGCAGGTGTATTAATTTTTAGAAATTGACAAACCATACCTCATTTTGTTCGTTCTCCATGAGTTTTAAAAGCACTAAATCAATGTTAATGATTAATTTAATTGAGTTAAAAACTTTTTGTGCGGGTTTTCAATCGAGAAGAAAATTTGTTAGTTTTGAATACTATAGGAGGCAAATCGTCAAGAAAAAAAGTTCATAACTCAAACTCTAAAAATCAGCATAGTTTGGGAGGTTACAATTTTTTTCCCTATATATTACCTATTTTTCCTTTTTCTCCATTTTGACGAGCTTTCAAACTTGTTAGCACTTACTAGTGCGTAGTTCGTGCGATGCATGAGACACGTATATTAAATGAGTCATTTTTAGAGGGCTTGTACGGTAATTAGGCTAAAAACCACAGGGTTAGGCCATCAATTTTCAATTAGTGATGTTTATTTTAGTCATAGCGTGGACATGTTAATTAATATGTTATTTTGCTAACACCTTATACTAATATAAATTTGATTTTACAATATATATTTATTCATCGATATAAGAAAAAAAAAAAAAATTATATTTATTCTTGTTTACCAAATAATATTTTATTATTACTTTATTATAATATTTGTTGTCATATAATGCCATTACTATTATTTATAAAGGTTATAGAAGTAGTCTTCTTCTTCACAGTTTATGTAATGAAATTTAAAATAAAATTTTGTGTATAAATGTTTACAAACTTTTAGAATTCAAGTGGAAGAATCGAACGCGTCTAAATATTATTTGGCAAATTTTTAAATTTTATTGTTTGTCTTGTATGAATTTTAATTTATTTCTATACTGAAAGTAAATAGGTTTGAAATATCCATAAGCATGCTGGATATTTATGATCTATTTTAAGAGCACTAATTATGTTTTAATATTATTCCCTATTGTAGATGTGATTAAAGGGTATCATTTTGTTTTTCAATCTTTCTTTTAAAATTATGATAAATTTACTAACTTAAAATATAATATATTTAAAAGTTAACAAGGTTCATTAGAAACCAGTTCGTTCAAAGGAATCCAACCATTTGGTTGATTTGCAATAATAATAATAATAATAATAATTTTTAATTTATTAACATAATTTTAAGTATAATAACTTAAATTAATCATGTCTCAACGAGCTTCGATTTGACATTTATATTATACATATAAAATAATTTTATTTACCTTTATAATTAAAATTAAATTAGCTATTAATATTAATTTTAAAAATAAAATTATTTAACCAGTCGAGGTCAACTTTGTCGATCCTTTCCTTCACTACAAAGTAGTAATCTTATATAAATTAAAAAAATCATAATATAAGATTGTAAGTCGTGCAAGTGACAGTGTCATTTTAAACATAAATAATAATATATATTTTCAAAAAGTATTTAAAAACTAAAACAAATTTTGTCGTTACTATTATTTAATTTTAAATATAATTTTCTTAACAAGTACCCATGTAGTACACGAGTATTGTACTAGTGTGAATAATAAGTAGGAATAGAGTGAGATTTTTGCAGACTGGTTCATGTTGCTGGGGCTGCTAACTTAATTCAGGACCCGTTTTAAGTCATTATTATAGTTTGTTGCTTAATGGGAAGCAAAATGTATTGTACTGGTGTAAATTAGAATGGTTACCACTCAGTGCTCGTCGTACAACCGTACTAAGCATCATCTGTTCGAGTCTCGACATCGCCTCATTCGTGGATTGAATTTTCCTCGCTCATGGTCCGTATGCTCTCCTCCATATTTTTCATCCTCTCTCGATTTGTCATGGTGATACATGATTAGTAACAAAATGAAACCAATGTAAAGAATCGTGTATCGAACTCTCAAATTTGTGCAAAAAAACGCGCTAACGACCTTGTTTTAGTCACGATTGGTGCTCGAAAACGATATTTATTAACTTAATTACCAATATTCTGATACAAGTCTCTTAAAATACTTGCACACCAACACACAATACATAAATAAGTAACTAGTCCCGCCTAGGGCTGCAAACTAGTCGAGCTGAGTCGAGCATTGGCCTTATCAAGCAGGATTAAATTTTTTTTAGTTGCTTGAGCTCGAGCTCGATTTTGAGGCTCGAGTTTGACTGAATAAGAAAATACAATAGCTCGAACTCGGCTCGAGCTCGACTCGAAATCAAATGCTCGAGCTCGGCTCAAGTTCGACTAAAAAATTTGTAAGTTAAATTATCATTGAGCACTTGTGTTATATGATATAAATATATAAGAGGTATTTTAATAATTTAATATATATCGAACCACTTGATGAACCGCTCGACAATGAAAAATATGAGCTCGAGTCAAGCGTGACGGTCCGCGCGACTAAGCTCGTGGCGCTAGCTCTTTGCACTGTCGCGGCACGACACCTTGTCCATGCCCAACCTCTGCCCTCGTGACATTGAGCGCCGCTTAACTCGTTTGCAACCCTAGTCCTGCCATAGCCAAAAATATATGAACTGCTCGTCGCGCGCGCTCCAGTGTCACGCGACGTCGACACCTTGTCCAGCCCAGCCTCTGCCCTCGTGACGGTCCGCGCGACTAAGCTCGTGGCGCTAGCTCTTTGCACTGTCGCGGCATGACACCCTAGGAGGCTCTGTCCTCGTGATGGCCTCCTGATCCTCCTCACGGCCCGAGGCCTCTACCTCGTCGCGGTGCGACCCCCTAACTTGTCATTTGTTGTTTTTTAATTTGTGCACGTCGAGATCAATTGTACGCATTCTTTAGATGACGACCCTCATGCCTGTCAATGTCACAATGCACTACATCATGCAAGTGTGGAGTGCAACTAACATCTGAAGTTGATCCCCTTTGAAAGTCCACTTGTTTAGCGCATTCATCAAAAGTTTTTGTACCCCTTCACATAATTAACACTCCTTTATTTCACTAACAACTTTTATATGCTTCCGCTTAATGAGATTCGAGGTATGTTTATAAGCAATTAATATAACAAATTTGACCTTCACATAAAAAAAAAATAAAAATCAATTTTCAAGTTGTTTTTTCATATTTTTGCCAACATAGAGGGACTATTTGCAGTGTCATGACTAAAAGAGACAGGAAGGGTTCTCATATCTAGCCGAAAAAAAAAAGAAAAAAAAACGACAGAGGAAGATGTAATAATATTACAATCACTATATATGTTCACAATCATATGTTCCTTCCAATAGTCATCAATCATTACATAATCATTACATAAAAAGGTAGGGGTGGTTACTCCTAAACCACCACAAGACACATAAAAAAAGTGTCGGCTCCCCTAACTATGAAGTATAATAAAAAGAAAATGAAAATAAAGTGATGCCAATTTTGGCACACGGGAAAAACGAATACAAAATCAAAGGTATTTTTGCACATTGAAAGAATTTTCCTTGCTCTAAATGATTCCAACCAAAAATACCTTATATAAAGAATAAATATGTAAAGCATATTAAAAAAAAAAAAAAGCTTTTTTTATATTCAATATAAAAAAAATGACAAATTTACACTGCTGAATTCGACACTGGAAACGATGCTTTGCCATGCACGAAACAAGAACCAAACGCTGACGTGTCTTAGCTGTGTAAAAATCCAAAGGCAGGATTCTTGAGGAGGTCTGTGGCAGGCTTCACGTCTAGAAAGTCCTTCACGTCTATCGAATTGGAAAGTTCATCTATCGAGAATGGTATGCTGTGTAATAACACACACACACACTTCAACATGTTAGAAAACCATACCGATGAATGAATTGGAGAAACTAATTTCACATATAATCTGCTCATTTTTGTTTACTATTTTTCTTTTTCAGCTGAATAGTAACACTGAACATGTACGAAATGAAATAAATGGGGGTGTTGATAATAAGCTCTGGGAATTCAGTTCATTTTTTCTTTTTTCTCTTTCTCTCTCCATGTTGGATTATCAAGAGGCACAGTTTGTGAAATTTACAGAAATATAAGCTAATCACCTAGAATTGTCGTCCAACAAAAACGAGCTGCTGGCAGCGTTACTCGACTCCTCTGTCATTAGGACCCTCATACTGGATATAACCTGTCATTAGAGTTAGCACATCATTATTATAACCTCTACAGGAGAACGTGTGGCCGAAGAACAAGTTTATTGCCAGAAGTACTTACTTCAGGTGATACACTTCTCGTGTTATTTTAAGAGCACTAATTATGTTGTAATATTATTTCCTATTGTTGATTATAGGGTATCAT